ATAATAAGGGTTAATAATTATGTTATTGTAATAGGTCGTTCATTACGTAATCTTCAAAAATATAATGAAGCAATAATTTGTTTTGATAAGGCAATCGAACTGGATCCTAATTGTGCAATTGGTTATGATAATAAGGGTTAATAATTAGTTTATTTAATAGGTTCTTTACTATCTGATATGAAGAAGTATTAATAAGCCATAGAGAATTATGAACAAGCACTTTTGTATTGCAAACAAGGCCAAAATAAATTTAAAAAATTAATTATAGAATTAGGAAATTAACAATGAATATTAATAAAATATAATTCATAAAATATTTATATGAGTTATTTTATATTCATTTTTAAGTTACTTTAATTTTGAGACTATTTTTATTAAGTTTCGCATTTACTAAGTTAATTATTATTCACCGTAATGATTAGTTAGAAAAGATTGAATCCGATTACAAATAAAATATTAAATGCATTTTGAAATTAATTATAATCTTTTTTTGTTTTACCAAATCAAATTTATTTAAATATATCACTCAGTTATTAAATTGAATAAAGTAAACTTAAAATCATTTCGTTTAATATCTGAAAAATTTTAACAAAAATAGAAAGAAAATTCGATTTCTTATCATTTAAACTGAAATACTTATTCAAAATACAAATTAAATTAGTTTTTTATTTAATTTTCTTTTACTAGTTCCCAATCTTAAACCATTACCATTTTCATCGTATGAACCACATCACTAATAAGATTTGTAAACAAAATTCTTACATTGTTTTAAATTCTCTCTGATTTTCTTATAAAAAAAATATCCCAATTACCTTACTTTTTTTTCCATTTTATATATGCATCACAAATAATTTAAGATCCATCCAAAATTAATCACTTTAAATCTTCTGTTTCCTCTCGTTCTGACCTTACTCATTATATGATCCATAACTACTAAACCTTTTAATTTATTTCCATTCAAATATGCTATTCGTCTAAAATTATTTTTAATTCATCTAAATTAAGATTTACCTTCTCAATATTCCTTGATCTAATGAATATTCGATTTAACTATTTTGAGTAAGATTAATTAAAATTTAAAAAAAAAAATAATTTTAAAATTAATTCCACCTTTCCACTTCAATATCTTTAGTGAAATGTATCTATGTATTTGTCTCTCTTCAATCAATACATATAAATGTAGTTAGTTCAATAATTTAAATCTTTAATTCAATTCTAATTTATTAACACAGAATTATAGAAATTTAACATTACCTACAGAAAATAAAATATTATGAAATTTGATTGTTCCAACAGATGTGTAGCTATATATTTTAAATTTTACATTAATTATAAATTTATTCAAACATTCACTACTTCAATTAGATGTTTAAGTTGTAATTTTAAATTCTAAGTTTTGGTGTATGATTGTTTTTAAAGAAACTTATCTAATTTAAAGATATAAAATATTGTAAGGGAAGGAAGTCATGGACCTATGCATCAGCTATAAATAGCATGTCTTTCTGTGGCAGGAAATCAGACAATAGACGAAGGGATTCAAGATTGCGAACTCAATGTCGAGGCTTGGAATCTGGAGGGATTCTAAGAGATTGGGTATGCTTAGTACCAATATAAAACAGTATAAAATCATCAATTTTAAACAAGTTAATAGCTAAATTAACAAAAACTAATTTAAAGATAACAATAAAAAATAATTTATTATAAAATATTATAACCAAAATAACAAAAAACTAACATGATCACTCTTGTATAAATACTCATACTATAAAAATGTTAAATTTTGCAGTATAATTATTGTTTTATTCAATTATCAGATATCATTTCTGTTATCTTTATAAAGCCTTCCTCTATTTTGTTCCAATCTCGAAACTATTGACTCTATTCCTCAACCATTATACCTTCCTTATATTCACCATTATCTACTATTTTAGAACTCCATTAAAATCCATTCGTTTTTTCCACCCGATAACCATCCTTTATCCTGTCACCATTATATTATGCTCCAACACTAAAAATTAATTATAATTCATAAATATATATAGGACTTCTTACATCAATTTAAATTGACTTTCATCATAATACCTATACCACATATCCCATTTTCCAACTTTTTCTTATTTTATTATTTACCATTATATGTTATCCCAGGGTAACTTGAAAATCTACCTGATTGTTAAATCTTTTTATTTACTTCGGAATTACTATGCCAAATATCCCACTTGCCAACATTTTTACCTAATTTATAACCGCCAGTATATCTTACTAAAGATGAAATTTCAAATCTATTTGAAACCTCCACCTACAAACCTAATTTAAACCCATAGCCTTCTTCATCATAACATCCACCACCACTACACATTTTATATGTTTACCTTACTGAATATCCAAAGAATAATAAAAACATAAAGTCTATTTATATACAGATATGCAATTATGGAATTACTGTTTAACATCTGTGTTTTATTTAGAAAACTTTTTAATACACAATTCAGACATTTCTATAATTATTTAAATCGGATATTTAATTTTAATCATATATTCATAGATTAGAGACTTTAAGATTTTTAAACACAATCCTGGTAAAAATTCAGATAAATTAAATAATACTTTTACATTCTTTTAAGAAAATTTTTTCATTTTGATTAATTTAGATTTTTCTAATTACCAAATAAAAAATACAATTCCAATAATATAAATAATAAAGAATAGGAATGATTTATGTAATGATCACCTAACCTAGAAGGTGACCGATATATGTAAATAAAATCATAATTGTTAAAAAAGGCTATGTGATATTTGCATGAAGTGCCATATTTTTGATGTTCCATCTGAAAATTTACTGACTTTTGACAAATGTCTCGAAAAACAATAAGGTCTTATAGAGAAATATAAGTTAAATGATGAATGCAAGTTAAAAGATTTTGAAGAGAAATTTAACATAAGCTTGATAAAATACAAAACAAATTTTCGGAGAGGATTAAATTGACAAAAAGTTGCATTAATAATCTAATTTAATAAATAAAGGATACTAATTAGTCTTATAAATCAGGTTGAGAGCAGCATCCATTAGAGTGTCCTTACTTAATTTTTCATGCTATTTCATATAATCTTTAGGAATACCCAATACATATTTGGTCGAAAGAATCGTAAAAATATTAAATACTTGCAATCGAATATTTGATTTACTTGTGAAATCCTTTGAAAAACTTATAGATATAGCGAATCAAGAAGTTTATCAAATTACTACTTTTTATGATGTATTTAAATCACATTAGAAATACTACATTATAGGATCTTAAGATTTTTGGAGTAAAACATGGTTAATACAATTAAATCTTTGAAATTTAATTGTATTAACCATGGATAATATGGATTGAATAAAAAAGTAGGTGTTTGGAAATTTCAAGGATGGCATCAAATTATAAATTAATTTCAATAAACTATAATTGAATATAATTTTTGTGATGAGATTGGGATTAAATTATACAAGACAAACTATTAAATTATTAAGATGTATTAATATGACCAAATAATTTAGAGAACATATAGATAATGAAATAATGTTGAACATTGAATAAATAAGGTATTTAAGCTGGAAAGGAAACTATGATCTATTAGGAAGAAAAATAGGAGAATGGAATGCTAAATGGATGGGATAAGATATAGGAATAGGTGGATTATATGATCCTAAAGGCTATAAGATTCGGATATGGAAAGAATCATTAATGCAATATTCTCAGTATAAGATTCCTCATTTAATTATTTAGTTCTTGCTAAACTATAAGTAGTGGAGAATACAAAATTGAATGAGATTTGGAAGTCGGGATATTTTTTTTAAAACAAAATACATGTAAGAGATTAAAAAAATGTAATAAATGATAATATTTAAATTAAAAAATATCTTTCCAGCCAAAAATCTTATGTTGAAATATACAAGTCCGAGGAAGAATAAGAGATCAAATTCAAAGAAATTTGCCTAAAATCAGGGATCCAAATCAATGAATCTCTAGGAAGAGGGTTTAATGAAAGAGGATCTGTCTTCTCTTCTTAAACTAATTGTGGACAATAGACTTATGGATTACCCA